TGATGACCATGGGATCCATCGTGTAGCATGTCATATGCTTCAACTCCAAGTTCGTCCAGCCAAGCCGTAGTATGCATCAACAAGGTACTGGAAAGACATATACTGTCCCTCATGATTCGCTTGTCGGTGTGACTACACTGACACCCCTTGATATGACGATGAACCGCCTCACTCCCTTTCTCAGGTCGTCCTCACAGAAGCCTTGGAACTTCAAATCCTTGAGCATTACTACATTTCGACTGGTGTTCATGTTGCTCTCTCAACACCAGCTCTTGTTCAGAGGGAGCTACGAGCCCGTCAAATGTCAATGTATGTGATGGGATAGTTGGATGAGAGAGGTTCTTGAGAGCAAGAATAACAGACTATGCTAACGCTAACTGAGGTATGTTATGGCTAAAACTTCAGGTGTTCCTTGTGCTGAAATCATTACATCTCCTTATAGCCACTTTACCTAACCTGAGCAGCGAAGCATCGAGAACACGCTTGTCAACCTCTTGGCCTGTTGATTCTTCAATTCCCTGACCTTCCCCCTACTACCTGGAACTTAGAACGGTGCCAGGACTCCTTTCGCAGCCCATCTACCCCGATCAGTCAAATCACAAAGTACACCATACCTCTGCACTTATACCACACGCCCATCAGACTTAGCTGGTTAGCCAGCACTCAAAACATCACACAAATCCATCGTAACCGCTATACCTCCTCCATGTTCCCCTGGGCTTCATATAGACCTCCCAAATGCAACACTACCACATCCTCATATCAAATCTGAATGCTGTAACGACTCTAGACCCGCATTCCCTCTCGTTGCTACCAGTCCTGTCAATCAGTCACACGGTATCCCAGGTAAGTTCCTATGCCTTCCTTCGCACTATGGAGGACATGAATCAGTGGAGCTGTGTCTGTCACACGAGAGCAGTGCATTCTTTTATGTCTGTAACGTCATCTTGATTCTCAGCTACTACCACCTTAGCTCCTACTCGATATGATGCCATGACTTCAATCGATAAGATACCTGGAAAGTGAATGCAGGTCTCGCCTGGCCGTTTTAAAGGATACAGGCAAGAAATGAGCAAGAGGGGATTTTCTTGTGTTCAATTCAATACTAAACAGTGTTAAATATATTCCAGTTGTCACTCATGGTGTAATGTATGGTTTCTATAATCACTAATTGACAAAAGCCTTGAACTTTAACCTAGTACTGCAAACAAACAAACCTACCAGCAACGTGTTCTTCTCAAAGGTGCAAACTATCTCTCCGTTCTGGGCCTCGTGGTGAGCTGGAAAGGTCAAATCAACCAATATAAGTTCACTTCAGGCAACCCCCTACTGGACCTAGTTAGGCTACACTCCAAAGTGTAAAAGAAAGACCTTAGAGGTACTTATATAGGTCTGTATGCCCAAGTAGGCATATACCTGAGAGTATTCTGAGGGTGTAGAGGCAAGTGCCTCAATGCAAATTTTATATGTTCTGGCATATGCCTGAGATGTTTTCTGTGGGTTCAAGCACATGCCCAGCAGCAGTATGGGCACTTGATATGCTAGGCATTTGCCTATGAAAGGTAATGTGACAGGGGTGTCAGGGGTCCTTTTAACCTGATAGTAGGCAGGCATTTGCCCCATTTACAGTGCATATTCTATCAGTATACTATTGGTTTCTGGACATGCATTATATACAATATAGCAACAGAAATATGCAGGATTTGATCTATTTGAAACACTAGGCATATGCCCAAGCATGGCTTCAGTCCTATAAATGGTGCATATATTGGATCGATACTCACTGACTTAGGCAAATGTAGTTCAATATATAATCCAAACCTCTGTCTCACTTTTTCTAAATGTGGGCAAATATGCTTGAGATTCAGAGGGTAACCATTATATATATGTGAATCAAAGGAGAAGACATATGTCTGAGATTAGATTATATTGGGCATATGCCCTACTAACAGCTTAGCTGGGGCATCTGCCTACCATAATGATATGTGTGTCAGAGCATATTCATTTCATAGGTACATGTTTCTAACATCCATAGAGATACACCATGGATTGTATAAGGATTAGGCATGTGCCTTGTAAATCTATCTCAGGCATATATATTCGTTCACTAGGCATATGCCCCGCTACATTTATTCACCAGGCATATGCCCCACTACATTTTTTCACCAGGCATATGCCCCACTACATTTATTCACCAGGCATATGCCCCACCAGTTTTAACTTGTCAACAACATGAGTCTAGATTGATTTGTACTACCAACAGCACATAAAAGAAATACATTCACATTGTCTAGCCTCTTGAGTCCAAATCTGCAAAGAATTGGATATTGTCAGTGAATAGTATATGCCCACATGAATGTGGCAAGGGCATTCCTTGACAAGCTGTGTCGGACAGCGCGCGAAGAACTAGACGCTCCATTATCCAACGATCCTGCCACACTGGATAACAGTAGTGACACGTCCGACTTTTCAACCTCCACCTCACCTGATCTTGAACCTCGAAAGAAGACGTGCCCAAATGCTCCAGGCTCAGCTCCCTTGACCCGCCCATCGGACTACCTACGATTGCGTTGTCCTGCCTGCTTTGGTGGTAAATCTAGACCCTCAGATGGGTATGCAGTCTTCTCCTTCCCATCCGGCAGTGTCTAAACAGCGTTACAGATTTGATGTGATTGTGTGCGTTGATGCCTGTTTCACGCAAAAGCACAACAAGCAAGTGCGAGACCATCCCATGGTCTACCCCAAAACTGTCTTCATCCCCGAGGAACTAGTGAAGGAGGTGGAGGCCCGTGTTGAGTCTGTGCGACCTCAACGTCGCCGTCCCAACCCTTCTTCTGTCATCATCGAGGATAACCTACCTGATGGGTATGAGGGACCACTTAAAGTTCCAATATCTGTTTTGGATGGTTGTCAAGACAGCTTCACTGCTGCGGATGAACGACGCGAGAAAGCTAGCACCCAGTTTTTCGACTGCACGGGACTAATGGGCCTTCTCTGTCGTCACAATCGCGTTCTCTGGTTGGTGAATATGAATTCAGCTGGTGAAAAACAGCATTATGTTTTAGCCCTCCTCGAAACATTGTTCAAGCACCTACCTGATACCTTTACTATTGGCCTTCTCTACGACATTGCTTGTCAGCTTCATCATTCATGCATCAAATGGAACTTCCTTGGTGCATTTCTGCCCCGAATTTCCTTTGTGATATCTGTATTTCACGCATTCGGACATCGCTGGCCATGTCAAGTAATATATCACCCAAGAAAGTGCAAAGGTTTTGGGCTATCTGATGGAGAGGGATGTGAGCGGTTCTGGCACTCGATCAGCAAATTAATCCCCTTCCTGCGAGTCTGCGGGGTAAGTGTCAGTTGGTTCAGTTGCATATCTTGAGCTTAGACCTTTTATCCAGTATCATGTTCGCATATACACACTTGATATGCAAATCCGACACTTTGATCATCAGTTGCTCAGGTCCTTAGGTCAATGGATGGAACGTAAGTGGCTATCGTGCCATGAACGACGTGACAGAGCTATTGCCCAACTTACTAAGGCTGGTCATGATGAAGACTTCCTTCGTGCGCAATGGGAGGATCAAGTTGCATATCAAACAAAGCCATTACCTGGTAAGCACTGGATAGTGTTCATTTAGCTCAAAGCTGATCACCAATGCTTCTAGCCCAGTCCCGGGGTTCTGGCAAACGTGCAGTTGAGGAGGTTGTACGTCTTCGTGAAGCCATTGACCAGTTGATGGCCCGCGTTGCTCGCCTTGAAGAGTCCCTCCTTGACATGTCACTTTCTGTCCCAGTTCGGATTGATGTGAAGGCAGATTTGGATGTAAAGGAAGCGCAACTGCGGGAAGGTCGGCGCAAGTTACGTGCCTCTGAGGCCAAGCTTGGCGTTAGCGAGCAGCAGGAAGTTAAGAGTCTGTTGAACAATCCATATATCAATGCACGGATGAATGCCATGGCTGTCAAGACTCGGCTTCTCGAACGCATGCGACACAGGAAGTTTGAAAGGGACAGATTGGAACGAAGTTATCGGAAACATAGCACAAATAACGGTTTGTGTCCTCATTTTTCCTTTGTCCTGGAACTAAATGATCCTGTACAGAGCGAAAGGTTGATCAGCATCTCGAAGATGCTGTGAAAAAGCGTGATCCAACAATTTAACGCCTTGCAAAACAGTTCAATGACCTGGTTTCAACAATGGAGAAGTTAATCCGCCTAGGGAAAGCACCTGCTCATGCTATTGCCCCCACTCCCATCGATGTGAAGACTTTGTTCAAGTTAGATGTCGACGACGCTATATGGGACGATTCTGGGCTTTATGATGATTGCCATGGTTCACCTCCTCTATGGCTATCCAATGATGGAGTCTGGGGTGCTATCCAGGCCCTTCTTGAGAAGGATCGATGCGACGAGGAGTTGTTACGTCTTCAGATGGAACGGGACGCTATTCAAGAATGGTTTGCTGATGAGTGGGCAATTGTCTCAAAGGCTCACAGTACTTCTACTGGTGTGTTTCTGTTTTGTCTTCTCTTTCGTGTCTTTGTTAACTATGATGCCAGATTCATCCATTATGTTCCAGCTTCAATGTCATAAGGATGAATTACTTGCAATACTCTACCAATGGCAGCGCTCGATGCGAGTTCTCCGTGCCTCTACTTCGACATCCCCCTGGGGTCCCTCTCCTGTGGAAGTGCAATCATCTTATTCTTCAGCACGTAGAGACCTTGTGAAGGAAGTTGCACTGACACATCTATCCTCTGACGATGAGGATGACCTGGACTCAGACAACGGTTCCATTGACCCGACATTTATTGAGCTTCTGGATCATATAGACCTGGTAGATGTAGATATGGATGTAGATGATGATAATAGTGGTGAATAAACCTCACATTTTAATGTTTTTCTATGCTGAACTTAAGTGTGGTGAACATTGAGAATTCACGGATAGTACTAAGGGGGACATTAGGAATGATGATAATGAGTCTAAGACGTTAACCTCAATGGCTTAATGGTATAGTGTAGCACATGAATTATCGCATGCACCGAGGACATGTTGCTAAGGTTCTGTGTTCTACTCACGGTTGAGGTGCTTTTTGTTGATTGAATTTGCTGAGTATCCCAGTATCACATTCATTATACTTCCTTTTTTATTCAACACTTTATTTGCAGAGTCACTATGTAAGTAGTCAATAAATTGATTATCTATTCATTAAATTAACGATAGATGCCCGACTGATAATAATGATTGGCTCTGGGCAGATGCCTGGTGAATAAACATAGAGGGGCATATGCCTGGTGAACAAATATAGTGGGGCGTATGCCTGGTAAATAAATGTAGTGGGGCATATGCCTGGTGAATACATGTAGGAGGGCATATGCCTAGTGAACGAATATATATGCCTGAGATAGATTTACAAGGCACATGCCTAATTCTTATACAATCCATGGTGTATCTCTATGGATGTTAGAAACATGTACCTATGAAATGAATATGCTCTGACACACATATCATTATGGTAGGCAGATGCCCCAGCTAAGCTGTTAGTAGGGCATATGCCCAATATAATCTAATCTCAGACATATGTCTTCTCCTTTGATTCACATATATATAATGGTTACCCTCTGAATCTCAAGCATATTTGCCCACATTTAGAAAAAGTGAGACAGAGGTTTGGATTATATATTGAACTACATTTGCCTAAGTCAGTGAGTATCGATCCAATATAGGCACCATTTATAGGACTGAAGCCATGCTTGGGCATATGCCTAGTGTTTCAAATAGATCAAATCCTGCATATTTCTGTTGCTATATTGTATATAATGCATGTCCAGAAACCAATAGTATACTGATAGAATATGCACTGTAAATGGGGCAAATGCCTGCCTACTATCAGGTTAAAAGGACCCCTGACACCCCTGTCACATTACCTTTCATAGGCAAATGCCTAGCATATCAAGTGCCCATACTGCTGCTGGGCATGTGCTTGAACCCACAGAAAACATCTCAGGCATATGCCAGAACATATAAAATTTGCATTGAGGCACTTGCCTCTACACCCTCAGAATACTCTCAGGTATATGCCTACTTGGGCATACAGACCTATATAAGTACCTCTAAGGTCTTTCTTTTACACTTTGGAGTGTAGCCTAACTAGGTCCAGTAGGGGGTTGCCTGAAGTGTATAAGTTGGCCGTATCATGAGCAAACAGGGTTCGGTGAAGGTGTTGAGATCATTCCACTCATAACTGATCTTCTGATGACACCTGAGAAGGGCTATATTCAGCGCGTTTTTGAAGTAGATCGTTACAAGATACTCAACAGGTTTTCCCACTGGCTGGCTTATCAGCCAAGTTTCTGGAGAAAGGTAGCTTGGTGGACGGTTTGTTAAGAGCAGGTTTGATTCTACTGGTGAGTGGGCATAATCTCACGGACCTTTCAACCTTACTGTGCATATCCATCCTCTATACTTAGCTGCACTCTTTAGATGTGTGGAAACGTTGGAGGGATATCACCTGTTGAATATACTCAGAATCATCTTCGAGTAGTATGATACATCAGATTGAAGTTGTGTCGAAGATCGTATGTGTGATGTGAGTGTCCAATCCAGAAGTGAAGAACCATTTTAATCATATCTAGCCACAGGTAGCAATAGACTCCACGTGTCTGTCAAAGCTCTATTTATTTTGTCAAGATCTGATTGTGATGGAATATCATGGCTGGCAAGATGTTTCTCACACTCAAGTCGCAGAGCTGTTCTCTTGCATAGCACATGACACGGTCATGAGCCCGAAAGCTATTTGGGAAGACAGTAGGCCTATCTGTTTTCAATGATATAGATGCATTCTTATAATCTGGTTTTCAAGGTCCAGCTTGTTGGAATACTAAATATAGATGTTACTCATATGACTCATTTCACCACTATACTCCGCCTATGCCACATTACTCAGAAAACATATATCTATAGATCGGGTTGTAACCCACTAGAGTATCCTGTCAGTTTCACTCATCTATTATTGTACTATTAGGTTTATCTTTTATCCCTGCTCTTGTATATAAGCTAGACAGAAAAGCCTACAAATATTATCAGTTGTTCTCTCAACTTCTGAGTCACTCTCATCTTCGCGCTGTGTGCGCTATCGCTGCTATCAGAGTTAGACTTTAAACTCTGACAGGTTATGGGCCCCGGCTTTTAGATTATAGCCGACCCAGAGTATAACCGAGATTAAACACCGGACTAGTGTATGTCCAATCGAGGAAGCCGTTATCAATCCAGAAGCAGCACCCCAGTACCAGGAACTTTCAACCCAGAACAAATATTACGTGGATCCAGAAATCCAAGCAGACAACCTACACCAGTAGGAAGTAGACAACCAAGTCCATCAGGACCAACTAGTATATCGACACACCCATCCAGAAATCCATCACGTATCCCTTCCAGGAGACAAAGTCCAGTTGGAGGATTGAACACACCACCAGCATCTTCTGCACAACCCACCCAACTCCGAACAGATCTAATCTGTGTCAATTGGTCACACCAGTTTGATATCGACAGATTACGAGATTGTCATTTAGATCTCAACAGACGCAAGTGGTATCTCTGCACAGAGCAACCGTGTCCAAACAGAAGGAATCAAATTAGTGCTCCTAAGGAAGCACTACTAGTTGGAGATTTTAGGGATTGTGACGATCACAACGAAGAAGTAGTTCGAGGAAACGTCCTACGAACCACAGTACCAGAACCACAACCATTAGTATTCCCACCAGCTGGGACATCTAATACACAAGAAGAAGTACAGGAAGTACAACAAGAAGAACAAAAACAGGAGGAAGAAGAACAGGAGGAAGAACTCCAAGAAGATCTTGAACAAGAGGAACAGGTGTCAGTACAAGGTACTGATATTCCAAAATCTGATTCTGAAGAAGACAAAGAACAATCGCAGAAGTCATCTGCACCACCATCTCATAAATCAACACCTCCGTTATCGCCCAAGACGCCTCCCAAACCTAGACCACCAACTCCCAAACCGTCAATTGACGAAGACGATGACGATATGTCTAAAGCAGTAAAGGCATTTGACAAATGTACTCAGTTAAAGGCCGATGGGGCAAACTGGGGCATGTGGGCAATGTGTATAGAACGTGCAGCAAAGTCAATAGGGTATGGGAAATACCTGACTACTGCAGAAGAAGGAGACGCAGATGCCGATCTCATGAATGCAATCATTGGAAGATTGCCAGACACTATTCTTCGCAGATATCGAAATGCGGAGACATCACAAGAACTATGGACAGGTCTGAAAAAGGATTATGACACCAAAAATCCTTTGACTGAAGCACATCTGGAAAGGAAACTATACAACCTATCGTGCCATGATGTTGGAAAAGTAAACCAACACATAGACGAACTCCTCAACATCCGAAATGAACTTACATCTCAGAACATTACTGTTTCAGATGATCAGTTCAAGAATGCATTAATTGCATCTGTCCCACACACATTAAATTCGACAATTACAGCAGTAATGACTGTCTACAGTGAATCTGGAAAAGATTTAACTGTTGATAAGCTGATAGCTGCCATACGTGCTGAAGCAAATGGACAAGCTATGCGTCGAAAACCAAAGGAATCAGCAAATTATTCCCAGGACAGAGGACAAAACAACCAAGGAAAGAGAGGAAGTTTCAGAGGTAGAGGTAGAGGAAGAGGAGGATTCAAGAATCAAACCTCCAGAAACCAAACCTCACAAACCAGAGACAATATTAGTTGTTTCAATTGTGGTGGAAAAGGGCACATGGCAAAAGCATGCCCATCACCAAAGAAACAACAAGCCCATAAAGCTTCTGAGCCAAAGAAAGAGGCAAAGAAGGAAGACAAAACAGACAAGCCATGGCACAAAACAGAAAGTGCATCGAGTGCACATATCGAAGAAGAATTCGAAGAAGGAACTTGGATGGCTGTTGAAAAACATTATCCAAGTGAACAAGCAAACCTTGTTGCAAACACTGCCAATACCATCCTTTTCGATTCAGGATGTACATCACACATGATACCAAGTGATGACAAAATGTACGACATGGAAGATATTGCTCCAAGGAAAATAGAAGTGGCAAATGGTGAAGAGGTTATGACAAGTACAAAAGGAACTCTGGATTTAGAGTTACCTGATGGAAACAACCTACCATTGCCAGATGCATTGCATGTTTCACACATGAACAACACACTAGTATCCATTGGGAAACTAGATGATGAAGGACATGAAATTGTCATCCATGGAGGAATCATGCACATTTATGATGTAAATCGCAGACAAGTCACTAGCATTCCAAAAGTGGAAGGACTTTATCAAATCAAGGGGAGTGAAAGAGCTCTCATGGCAAGCCAAGAACGATTGGTATCCTTATATGAAGGACATTGCATGGCTGGTCATATGAATTATGACTATACCAGAAAGTGGATAAATGAAGGCCACATAGCTGGAATTGCACTTGATTCAAATCACATGGAGGAAAAGGAGTGCAAAGTATGTCTTCTTGGAAAAGCCAGAAGAACCAGCATTCCAAAGACTCGCACAAATGAGGAAAATCAAGCAGCAAAATTTGGGGACCTTATACACATGGATGTATGGGGACCTGCATCAGTTCAAACAATAAATCATCAACAATACAGTCTTACATTGTTGGATGATGCAACCTATTGGTTGGAGGAACCGCTACTCAAGACCAAAGGAGAAGCATTCGCAAAATACGTTGCTCACCAAACTCGACTCCAAACGCAGCATGATGTTACTATCAAAGTGTTGCATTCTGATAGAGGAGGAGAATTCCTAGGAGAAGAATTCACAGACTACCTGGAACACATGGGAACTGTAAGAAAATTAACAGTCCATGATACACCGGAGCAGAATGGAAACGCTGAACGAGCACATGGTCCATTGTTAGGAGCAGTACGCACAATGCTTCTACAATCAGGATTACCCAAATGGCTTTGGAGAACTGCTATGGAATATGCAGTTTATGTCTGGAATAGAACTCCACACAAGGGTGTTGGAATGAAAACACCTTATGAATTGCGATATGGAAGAATCCCAA